TTACGCGTCTCGACATGGTCCGGTATAGTGACATCCGGAAGAGCCTTGGAATACAGCCTTTGCTTCTCCAGATGGAGAAGTCACAGCTGCGATGGCTTGGGCATGTGTTGCGAATGCCTTCAGAAGGGAAGGCTAAGCAACTCTTCCTTGCAAATTCGACCGGCATAAAGCCTAGGGCACGGACAGGATTAACCTGGTGCAAATATATGGAAGAAGTCTGTTCCAGACTCCGTTTGTTTTTTGCCGAAGCTCAAACTCTGGCACAGGATCGAGAACGTTGGAATCAGTGTCTGACGTGCCTGCCTCCACGACCCAAAATTTAAAGCTGCGATGGAAGATGAGGATATATGAAGATGAAGATAATGAACCCTACTAAATGTTTCGTTCATCTATCAGTCCTCTGAAGATGTCTACTCTTATTTTCTAACGGCCTTCGTCCTCTCCGAAGGATGTTGGTTCAAAAAATATAAGTCCTTGCTTTCGTTATTTTTATAGCTCCAAATTCGGCATACAACACTGGTCTCTGAGGATGATATATTTGCCTTCTATTTTCGCCGAACATATTTCTTGAAATATCACAGCATGTTGAATCTGCCAAAGCCTAAGAACCCGCTCTCGTTCTTCTGCAACTTCCTGCCAGTGGAAGTACGACTTTCTAGAGTATTAAATGGTTACTTAAACGGCTAAGTATTAATGAGTTGAAAACGCTTACTTGACTTAAGAATTTATGACCTCTTATTTAAGCCCGGTTCTTCAATTTCTCGGAAGCTTTCTTTAACAGGCTTATTTTTAGCAGTCGTGATTAACCGTTGTTTGTTTGTGTTGTCCCATGCCTCTATGCTCGATTGAAAGTGGTAAGGATTTAGATTCTGCGATAGGGTTTAGATCGAATAGTCATCAGTCGCCATCAGGAAACTAAAGAAATTTGCTGCAACTGGGTTACGAGCGAATAGACCGGTGACCACAAAAATATGGCGGCTGCCAGGAGATGTCAGAATGCAACGCACCTTGCTTAGCTCCAAAAGTTTCTGGAATGGAAATTACTGAAATGAAAATTTTTTAAAAACTTTCTTATATGAGAATCGTTCCGCGACAGAAGATCTGGAAAACCTTTAATGGAAGTTGGTTTCTGTATAAAGAGGAACATAATCTTTACCGCTGAGGCAGCGCCTAATTTGTGGCATTATTTTAAACGTTGCGGTAAGCAATATGTAGAATTTTGCTGCTATAGCCCTTAACGTAAGATAATACTGGAAAGATCATTAATGGTAATTGGGCGCAGATTGAATACCATGTAGTTGCTGCTTTTCCTTTGAAAAAATTTCCACGATCGGAATTTATTCGGTTTCCAGGTTGAGATAGTAATGAAGGTGCGATTTTATGAAATAAAGCAGATTGTTTTAATTAAGTAATTTTAATTTCAGTTTTTTGTTTTATTTTGCTCTTACTTAACCATGAAGTCGAACAACTCAATTGCATTCAAAATTTTTTTATTGCAGTATTATTCTTACGCTCATTTTAGCTCCCATACCGGAACCCCGCAACCATGCATTCTATTCTTTGTACCTGATGGCCACAAGAAGGAACTTCCAACGGCTTTAAAAAGGAAGGAAATCAAATCAAAGGCATCGATTAGCCCAAGCGTTTCGAGTGCTGCCACCGAAAAGGTAGGTGATATAGAAATTTTCACTTTTAATTTGTCGTGACAAATTAGGTAATGCACGATGGCGTTGTATCTTAATTTGCATTTGAAATCCGGAATTTCATAAACGTTTTGACTATAAATTATTCATTTAATATGGTACCGTACAGCAGTTGGCTTAAACTGTTTTCTATGTTGAAACGATATAGAAGCTGTTGTTACTTTTTCATACTGTCACGTAAAAAATGCTCATTTTTGTGCTTCTTTTCTGTCATTCGTCTTGAGTAAAAGTTCCTAATTATTTTTAAGTCGCGAATCGTTCAGTAAAACCATCGAGAACTATCTCAGTACATGAATTGAAATTGTCTGTTTAGTTTGAATATCTGATTGTTATATCGAAGCAAGCATAAAATAGCAAGCAGTTCAGTCTATCTGATGACAGATGGCTACATTGTAATCCGTGTTTCTCAGGGCTTTCAGTAATAAAGTTGGCAGTTTGCATTAATGGTAATATCGTCTGTTGCAGTTATTTTTTTCTGTCGTTTGTATCAGCCATAGTTTAGACTTCAGTTCTTAAACATGAAATGTATTTTGAATTTTGATTGCGTGTTGTTTCAGATTGTGAATGCAGAGGACTTACTGCAGAAGATCAAGGAAGTGGGTGATGAAATACGTGCGTTGAAAAATTCTAAAGCGAGCAAGGTAAATAATTTTTCAACGTTACGCGTTCTGTTCGCACCTTCGCATATTTCTCCTGGGATTTCACGCAGTTTATTTTTTTTAACTTCGGTCAGTTTTTACAATCCATGTAATAAAAATAAAATAGCCGTAACCTGAATTGAAAATAATGATGAACTGTCATCACTGCAAAGACATTAGACTCCGTTTTTGTTTGACAACTTTATCTTATTCGCTGCACCCTTCTTTCATAGAGCTCATGGAGACATCTTGATTCTCTTTTATATGATATTGTCCACGAGTTATTTTATTTGTTATTCTTGAAGGCAGTGTTCACGGTTACGTGTCATTCGGACGGTACGGATCATGCTTTCAATGCAAATTTTGTTATCGTTTATTTTCTCAGACTGGTTACAGTTTTTTTCAGCTGAAAAACAAATTGGTAATAAACGCAGATTCGAATAAACGCGAATTTATTCAGTATCAAGTGCATTTTACTTTACTGATGAGTTTCAGCGACTTGACCTACAGTTAACGGCTATAAAATAAGAAAGTAGATTCGCCTGTCTTTCTCTGCTACTGTCATTCATTGAGCGGATTGGGTTTGTGCCAGCTGTGGCATGAAGCCCACACGTTCGTGAGGTGCGGAAATAGTGTATGCACTTAAACGTCTCGCATTTTGTTAATCTTAACATTTAGGAAAATATTGGGAAGAAGGTCACTCTTTTAAAAGATCTAAAAGCGAAATATCAAGAATTTTCTGGAAAAGAGTGGAATCCCTCATTAGTCGATGCGTTGTTGAAAAAGTCAGACAGCTGTTCCGTTTCAGCAAAGAATGGCAGTGCAGACGCAGAAAAAACAGAATCACCGGTGCCCGCTTCAACGAAGGTAGATGACACCCGTGTGTGAAATATAATGAGCTTGTTTGCTTATTAGGCTTTGGAATAAAATTTGCTGATGTTGGTGTTGACGCTTGGCAGTTGCTGATTTATCAGCATATACTGTTTGATTTAATTCACTTACCTCGTTCATTTGTTTGTATTATACCCTCATCATTTCATTTCTTTAAATTTTGACTTAACCTCTTCTTATTCTTTCCTTGTCCATATGTCTGTTTCGTACCGAAAATGGACGCAAATCGATCAGGCGAGCGCATAAATCTGGTAATAAAGCCGCCTTTTGCGTTGAAGATGAAGTTGAAGAGTTGTGTCAAATTTTTTTTTACTCATATTCTCAGCTATAGTGGGCACTCACCATATATTCTCAGTGCTGGACACTGACCAAAAGAGCGCGATCCCAATGACTAACGGAGAAATGATGATTCTTCGAAGAGCTCTAGGTGACGAGACTCGACTTGACTCTAAACAACGTTTTTCAAGGCATCCTCCTTGAGATTCATTCCTTCTTTGAATCGACAAGTCAGTTTTGATTGTTTGGATGTGTTTCATATGAGTGATTCGCATCGTTGACCCCGCTTAATCACAGAGCATCACGGATGCACACCGAGAATCAGAATGCTGGGATATGTTGAACATCAAGCATTGCCGCGCCTTAGAATCTAACTCTGTCAGCCGAGAACCGAACTCACCTGGAGAATCTATGAAAGCTGCTCCCCATCGAAACAAATGGTAGACTAAAAATGAAAGGGCAACCTATTTATCGCAGCTTAGAATAACGGTTTATGAAGTTATTAATCGCTAACATGAATCAAATTGGAATACAGGCATATTGCCTGGCATATTCCACGTTTGGCATTGAATCATTCTGGCACAGCATGTTTCCAGCCTCGCAACCTTTCCCTTCCTGAGGTTCCTCAGTCAGTTTTGCCATTTCTTATCGAGTTTTACCGTTGTGAGTAGCAAGACACGCTGTGTATCGTAGCTTCCGAGGAACCGTGAAGTGTCGTCGTAAGTTAGGGTACTTGAAAACTTCGGCACTGCTTGATTGTGGCATCACTAATATGATATTGCCCATTCATGAACGGCGGTATTCCTCTGTTTTCCAAGGATTATCCGGCACCTTTATCGTTACTGAAAATTAGAATAATGACTTTTTTGCGGTCCTCAGAAGCCGTAGCCTCATCTGAATGCATCCAAAATTCTGGTGCGTGTAATTGGCAAGTTTTCCTTTCGTTTTTGAGGTTTCTGAACCAATCCCCTAGCGTCCGCGGAAATTGGAACTTCAACAGAGCCAAACCTCTTCTCGAATTCTTTTAAACGAATGTGGGAAAAAATATGACATTAATATAGACGGCAGTCGTGTTGCGTGCGGAATTCGTCAAGTGATGAAGCCTGCTCCCCATACTTCTCAGAAGGACTCTATCATTTTCGTACTCCAGGGCAGCAAGATATTTTGCCAAATGCCTTGAATCGCGCTTTCCTTCCAGAATGGCGACTTTGCCAGATTCAACACTATTTCGGAAGTGATATTCGAGAACGGCGTGGCACAGCAAAAGCGAAAGCACATCTCCCTGGCAAACTCCATGGACTTAGACTTTTACGGTAGTCAGCTCTTGCGTATATTTCTTCCAAAATAGAATCGACGTGCTTAGGTTTTTTATAGAATTTTAAGGTACTCCACATCGGACTATGTATTGAATCAGATGCAGCCTTAAAGGCAAGGAAATCGGAGAACCTTGCAACTGAAATCGTCGACGCAAGAGTACCGAGAGTGAAAATTTCGTAGAATAAGTATGCCTTCTTCGGAAGCCTACATAATTTTGGCGGAGTGTTCTTTCTTCTGCCTGCATCAGCCTTCACAGGATTATCTAGGAAACCCCTTTCCAGGGGAGTTTGCAGTAGAATAACACTACAATAATTGATGTACTCGGTTGTGTTAAATACGTGTGGGGAGAGGGCAGTTGCTCCATGCTTCCATTCTCCAGCTGCCTTATCGATCTTACTGAATTCATTCTTCAGCCACAGTGGACGATGATGTGCTGCCTTCGAGGGTGTAGTACGTTGTTGCATGTAGCCCTTCTTTGCCTAGGTCAGCTGCTTCTAAGGAATGAGATGTTTTCCAAGGCCTTTGACAGTTTTTCTGTCCTATTTCTGGCCCCAACTACGTTTTCCGTCGAAGAAACGATATCGTTTTCAATGCTTTTGCAAGCTTAATTGATATGAATGCTTTTCGACTGACAACTCATAGAGACAGTAAAATAATTTCCTACCTCCTGTTAGTAGGGTGACATGGCAACACCGCTCTAGCCAGTCAACATCGTGGAACTGGCGTGTTTCAACCAGGCGACATCGATGTGACGGCTAATTTTAAACGAAGTTCTTCTAGACTATCTGGTGATCGACCCAATGCAAGCTCTGCTCTGAGGCTAGTCTCAATCTGCTCTATTTGCGACTGATGAGGACGTGGTCCAGTTGGAACTTTGGACTTCCGTCAGTGGACGTCAGTGGTACCTTGGGTGTAATCACTTATGAGCGCGAATAAGTTCCCATCGATGATTAAGTTGTTTGTCATGGAAAAGCGTTGTTGTAATTCAAAGTATCAAGTCCGTGACGGTCGAGTACTTCTGGCCAAGTGCCATAAATGGTTTCAACCTTCGACCTTCATGTTACGGTTGCCTGCGAGAACTGTGATGTTATGATGCTCAAAGCGTTGACAGCTTATTGCAAGCAGTCAGAAGCGTCGCTGTCGCCGTCACTGCGACCCATTTGTCAGAACACAGGCAGCAGTGACATGCGGATTCGCTTATTTGACATTTTTATGTGATGGACTAGGTTCCCAGCTGACACCTTTTCCACAGAATTGACCCGAGGAATCTAGGATACCCACACTGGTACGACATAATCTACTGTGACCTCATTCAAAATGGCCACCAGTCCTTCAGGAGAATCACCTTTTCAGAAAGGCGAGCTTCCGTGATCGCCGATGTATCGAGTTTTACGGCAAGCCGTATCGCAGAAATCATCCAGCTTACCTTCGCTCGTTCGGAACGAACGTTCAAGCAGGAAGTTACATACCTGATGTAGCGCGTTCGTTGTTGGAACAGGATCCCTCGCCACGCATTTCATTTCCACGAGAGCAAGAAATTGAACTGCCGCTCTTTGGAACATCAACCCTATTATCTGTAGATGGGTATAGTGCTTATGCGAGTGATAAATATAAAACTTTGAGGTAAAAGAAGTGCAAAATTTATATAGAGTTAAAATTGGAGACGATTTGAATTGGAGGTGAATAAACCCATTCTTTCACGCTAGCGCGATTGTTTGTGGTTAATCAACGTCGTTGCTTTCTGCTAGATTGGATGTTCCGTCGTGTATTAGGCTGCTGATATTCATAGGCGCATGAATCGATGGCATCGACCGATATTGCTGTAATCTTGACCGAAATCAAGGCACAAGGCGACAAGGTTCGTGAACTGAAGTCAAAGAACATTGGAAAGGTATATTTACTGTCATCGGGTTATTGTAAGTTTTAGCGAAGGTTACGGAGTTATGCTGATGCCATATGAACGTAATCTAAATTTAAAGTGGGAAGTTCATGCAAGTTTTGCAGTGTGATATATATATATCGTGGTACAGAATGAAATGTGTCGCGTGAGAACAACAATATCCTTTCCGCAAAG